GGACTGAGTTATACTGGGAGGGAGTGGAGGGCACTAGGTTATACTGGAGGGCACTGGGTTATACTGGGAGGGACTCAAGGGGGATACTGGGAGGGACTGGGGGGCACTGGGAGGGGCTCAAAGGGGATACTGGGAGTAACTGGGATGGACTGGGGAGCACTGCAGGGCACTGGGACAGACTGGGGAGGCTCGTGGTACCACTGGGGTATACTGAGAGGGGACTGGGATGGACTGGGTTATACTGGTACCACGCTGGGGGCACTGGGAGGGACCGGCTGACTTGAATGAGACCCCTCCACACCCCCAATCACCGCAGACCCTGACAAAGGTGCCGTGGGACTGGGAGGGACTGGAGGGCACTGGAGGGGCTCAGAGGGGACCCTGGGAGTAACTGGGATGGACTGGGTGATACTGGGAAGGACCAGGTGACTCAGAGACCCCCAGGCACCCCTGACCCCCCCAGACCCCCAGGCCCCTCACAAAGGCGCCACAGCACTGGGGGGCACTGGGATATCCTTGGAGGGGACTGGGATGGATTGGGTTAAACTGGGAGAGACTGGGCTATACTGGTACCATGCTGGGGGCACTGGGAGGGACCGGGTGACTCAGGTGAGCCCCCCCCAATCCCCCCACTCACCGTGGACCCTGACGAAGGTGCCGCAGGACTGGGGGGCACTTGGATACCCTTGGGGGGGACTGGGATGGACTGGGTGATACTGGGAGGGACTGGGGGCACTGGGCTATACTGGTACCATGCTGGAGGCACCGGGAGGGGGCGGGTGACCCAGCTGAGTCCCCCCCACGCCCCCCACTCACCGAGGACCCTGACGAAGGTGCCGCAGCTCTGGGCCGTCTCCCCCCCGGACTCCACGCGGCAGAAGAAGAGCCCGGAGTCGTTGTGGGACAGTTTGGGGAAGGTCAGGGTGGAGCTTCCCCCCCCCTTCCTGCACCACCCGGGCCACCTGGCGGCCCCCCCGGGTGGCCACCACCTCCTGGGGCCAGGGGCAGCTCCGGGGGACCTCCCCGAGCCCGGGGGGACACGCCTGGAGCCAGGTCAGGGCGGTGTCGGGGGGGCCTCGGAAGTGGCACTCGAGGGTCAGGGGGGTCCCCACGGGCTCCTCGCGGGAGGGGGGCCCCCCCCACACCCGGAGCCACCCCCGGGGCGGGGCCGGGGAGCAGGAGGGGCTCGGGGGGCTCCCGGTGGTCACGGTCACGGGGGTCGGCGTCTCGGGGGGCTCCGGGGGGGGGAGGCGAGGAGGGGGTTGTGCAGGGGGCACAGCCTTTGGGGGTTGTCTGGGAGCACTGGGAGCCTGCGGGGACAGAGGGGGGTTATGGGGGGTCCCCCGGAGCTCCCCAACCCCCACGGAGGGCGACTGACCCCGGGGGGGGTCACTGGGGGTCCCTGTCCGTGCTGGGGGGGGGTGTCTTTGGGAGTTCCCAGAACTGTGAGGGGTCATTGGGGGTCCCCCCGGGGTCTCTGGGGGTCCCCCAGACCCATCGGAGGGTCATTGGGGCCCCCCAGCCCCTCCCAGTTTCCCCCTTCCCCCTCCCAGTTTCGGTTCCCTGTCCCAGTTTGGGAACAGGAAATACCGGTTGGGGGGGGGGCGGGGGATATTCTGACACAGGTGGAGGGGACAAAAACCGATACTGAGACCCCCTGAGACCCCCAGACCCAAACCCTGAGACCCCCAGACCCAAATGGAGATCTTGGGATCCCAGAGACCCCCAGATCCAAACTGAGCCCCCCAGACCCAAACCCTAAGCCTCCCAGACCCAAAACCTGAGATCCCCAGACCCAAACTAAGACCCCCAGACCCAAATCCTAAGCCCCCTAGACCAAAAACCTGAGATCCCCAGACCCAAACTAAGACCCCCAGACCCAAAGCCTGAGCCCTCCAGACCCAAAACCTGAGATCCCCAGACCCAAACTGAGACCCCAGAACCAAGGCCCCCAGACCCAAACTGAGGCCTTGGGACCCCTGAGACCCCCAGACTCAAAGCCTGAGACCCCCTGACCCAAACTGAGACCCCAGAGACCCCTCAGACCCAAACTGAGAACCCCCCAGACCAAAACTGAGACCCCAAGACCCAAATCCTACCTGTGAGAAGCAGGATGAAGATGAGCAGGGGTCTTGTGATCCCCCAGTTTGGGAGAGGCCCCCGATTTTGGGGAGCCCCCTCCATCCCCCCACCGTCCCCGACGAGGCCCCAAAAACAGGAGACGCGGCCCAGTGACCCCGGGAGGCCACGCCCACCCAAAATTTCCCCGGGGGGGAAGGGCTGGGGGCCACGCCCACCCATCCCCCGGGCCCCACTGCCCCAAAATCCCCTCAGGACTTCTGAGGGGGGGAATTTCGGGGGTCTCAGGGGACTCAGTTTGGGTCTCAGTGTCCTCCCAGGTCCCCTCCGTCCTTCTTCCCTCCTGCCCCAGGCCCCGAGCTGAGGACGGAGAGCCCAGAGGACAAATCCCCCCGTGAGACCCTGGTGGGAGAGGCCGTTTTGAAGGGCTCCATGGTGCAGGAAGGCAGCGGGGAGGAAAAGGGCCGGAGATCCCCCCGCAGGAGGGGCTCCAAAGCCAGCCCAGGGTGCTCTGAGGAGGAAAGACCCAGCCTGTACTGGGAAGGCAGCCGGAGATTCAACAATGGCTTTAGTGTAGAGCACTGTCCTGTCTTATCCTGTACTCCTGGTAGTTTTAGTGTGTATATTGTGCAGTAAATAATTCTGATGAAGATCTTTTCTCTGATCATTTGTAACCCTAAATAACTCATTTCTATCAAGAGATTTGATTTGCCATCTTTAAAACCTGGGGGACAAAAGTGGTTCAGTCACACCTCTGTAATTCCTCTAAACTGAAACTGGATCCAGCAGCCCCCAGCACCTCACAGGAAGTTGGGAGCTCAGGGGGGCCACCCCCCTTTGCCAACCCCCCTGTGCCCAAAGACCCCCAAGGGACTGTCAGATCTGCCAAAACACCCCCCTTTTCCACCCTTCTCCCTGTTCCTTCCACTTTCCCATTGTCCCCTCAATCCCCAGCCCCCTCATGCTCACTTTGGGGGTCCCACTCTCCCCTTTCCCCACTCTTCTGACTTCTCCCCCCCATTTCCCATCATCACCCAAACCTCAGAGCCCTTCCCCCCTCCACTTTTGGGGGGTCCCTCTGCCCTCCCACTCACTTTGGGATCCCACCACCCCTTTATCCCCTCTGACCCCCCTTTTCCCACCGACCGCCCCCTTCCCACCCCCCCACTCACCCGAGAGCTCCTCGCCCACAGCCAGGGGGGCTCCCAGCACCACCAGTGCCCAGAGAAGTCCCCTTAGAAAAGGGGTTAGGTGGGGTCCTGAATGGGCTCTGAGTATGTTTGGGGGTCCTTGAGGGGCTGTGGAGAGGTTTTGGGGGGTCCCAGCACCCTTTAGGGTGAGTTGGGTGCTTTACTGAGGAGCAGGTGCCCTCTCAAAGCCCCCCCAGAGCAGGTTGACACGAGGGGAACACAGGGGGTCCCCATTTCTGATCCACCCCGGGGCCGATTCTGCCTCCCCAAACTCAGCTCCACCCCTTGGGATTCCCCCAAGCCCCTCCCCCACTGTCTCCCATAACCAAGACTGGGGGGAACTGGGAAGGTTTACTGGGATCACTGGAAGCAACTGGGTGGTGTCAGAATAAAAGCAGGGAAGGGGGGGACACACGACCCCCCCAAAATCCTCGCAGGGATGGGGGGGGGGTCCAGCCACCGGCTCAGGAGCTCTGTGGGGAGAGAAAAGGGGGTGACACCACAGTGGGGGCTTCATGGCACAGAAACAACAGAGGGACATTGTGGAACCTTGTGGAATCAACAGGACATTACAGAATCACAGACTCAAAGAATATGACAAGGTGGAAGGGACTCACCAGGATCACCAAGTCCAACACTTAGCCCTGCCCAGGACCATTCCCAAGAGTCACACCGTGTGTCTGAGAGTATCATCCAAATGCTGCTGGAGCCCTGGCAGCCTTGGTGCTCTGCCCACTGCCCTGGGGAGCCTGTTCAATACCCTCAGTCCTGTCCCTGGTTCCCCCAGAGCAGAGTTCAGTCCCTGCCCCTCCTCTGCCCCTCCCCAGGAAGTTGGACCTGCAGTGAGGTCTCCCCTCAGTCTCCTCTTCTCCAGCTGAACACACCAAGTGCCCTCAGTGTCCTCACACGCCTTCCCCCCAAGGCCCTTCCCCATCCTCGTTGCCCTCCTTTGGACACTCTCCAATGGCTCAATCTCTCCCTTCCATTGTGTCCCCCCAGACTGCCCCAGTGGTGCAGGTGAGGCCACCCCAGGGCAGAGCAGAGTGGGACAATCCCCTCCCTGGCCCGGCCGGCCATGCTGGGCCTGATGCCCCCAGGACAGGCTTGACCCTCCTGGCTGCCAGGGCACTGCTGACTCAGGGCCAACTGGCCACCCAGCAGCACCCCCAGGGCCCTTTCCTGGCACTGCTTTCCAGCCTTTCTTCCCAGTCTGTCTGTCCATGCGGGGTTGCCCCATCCCAGGGCAGAATCCGGCACTTCCCGCTGTTGAACTTCCCATGGTTGGTGATTCCCAACCCTTGGATCTCTCCAGGCCTCTCTGCAGAGCCTCCCTGCCCTCGGGGGACTCAACAGCTCCTCCCAGTTTGGGGTCATCTGCAAACTTACTTAGTGTTGCCTCCAGCGCTGCATCCAAGTCATTGATGAAGATGTTGGAGAGCACAGGGCCCAGATGGAGCCCTGTGGAACCCCCCCAGTGACCCCCATCTGATGTCACCCCAGTCACTGTCACCCTCCGTGCCCGACCCAGGAGCCAATTGCTCACCCAGCACAGGATGTGTTTATCCAGCCATGGGCTGGACACTGTCCAGAGGGATCCTGGGAGAGACAGGATTGAAAGCTTTACTGAAATCCAGAAAGATCACATCAACTGGCCTCCCTTGACCAGCCAGGTGGGTCACCTTGTCATAGAAGGAAATCAGATTTGATAGGCAGGACTTTCCACTCCTGAAGCCCTGCTGACTGTGTTGTCTTTCGGGTGTTTTTCAACCTCTCCCAGAATAATCTTCTCCATAACTTTACCAGGTACTGAAGTGAGACTGACAGGCCTGTAGTTTCTGAGGTCCTCCTTCTTGCCCTTCTTGAAAACTGGGACAACGTTCAGCAGCTTCTAGTCAGCCAGGACCTCTCCAGATTCCCAAGATCACTCAAAAATCATCGAGAGAGGTTTTCTGATGATATCAGCAACTCTTTGGGGATTCTGGGATGAATCCCATCAGGCCCCAGAGATTTATAGGGATCCAGGTGGAGCAGCAGATCCCACACAACATCAGGGATAACTGGGAGTTGATCATTCTTGCAGTCATGGTCCTGCAACTCAGGGCTCTGAGACCCCCTTGGTCCATCATCCATGTTGAAGACAGGGGCAAAGAAAGCATGAAACACCTTTGCCTTGTCCTTGTCCCTGTGTGGGAGGTGACCATCCTCATCCTGGAATGGGTCATTGATAATTCTATACTTCCTATTTCCATTATTATATTTGAAAAGACCCTTTTTATTGTCCCTCACATTTCTGGCAGCTTCAACTCCAGCTGAGCTTTGGCCACACAGATTTTCTCCCTACAGTGATGAGCAGCATCTCTGAATTCTTCCCAAGTCACTTGACCTTGCTTCCACTGGGCACACACCTTCCTTTTTTGCCTTATTTCCAAGTCACAATGATCTGTTTATTCCATGAGACCTTGCAGTGTCCCAGTGACCCCTTTGGGTCCACAAGCCACTGCAGTGTCACAATGCTCCCTTGATTCCATGAGATTCCACAGTGTCCCAGGGCTCCTTTGGCTCCAGGAGGCCCTACAGTGTCACAGTGGCCCCTTTACTCCAGGAGGTTCCACAGTGTCCTTGCTGGAACACACAGGGCTGTAATGTTGTCACCCCTGCAGAGCTGCCTCCAGCTCTGGGCTCCAGCACAGGAAGGACATGGACCTGCTGGAGTGAGTCCAGAGGGGACCAGCAAGGGGATCAGAGAGATGGAGCAGCTCTGCTGTGGGAAAGGCTGAGAGAATTGGGATTGTTGAGGCTGGAGAAAAGAAGGCTTTGGGGTAACCTAATTGTGGCCTTCCAGCGCCTGAAGGGAGCCAACAAGAAAGATGGAGAGAGACTTTGGACAAGGGCCTGGAGTGACAGGACAAGGGACAGTGGCTTCATACAGATAGAGGGAAGGGTTAGAGGAGATAGTGGGAAGGAATTCTTGACTCTGAGGGTACTGAGATGCTCTTGAAGGCCCCTCCCAAGCCAAAGCATTCCATGATTGTGGGACTGGTGGGTGAGGTGGTGGTTGGAGCCACCTGGGGCACAGGGACACAAAATGAGAGAGTTTTCCATTGTGGGGGAAGGAAGGAGGGGGCAGCAGAACTGACCCCTTGGACACCTGGCAGGCAGGCTTTGGCTGGAAGCTGCTGATGGGGAGCTGAGTGAAGCCCCCACAATGCAGGAGGAAATGGTCAGTGACCTGCTCTGCCAGTGAGACCCCCACAAGTGCCTGGGCCCACATGGGATGCAGCCAAGAGTCCTGAGGGAGCTGGAGAAAGAGCTGGCCAAGCCACTCTCACTCATTCCCCAGCAGTGCTGCACAACTGCACAAGTCCCAGCTGACTGGCAACAAGCAAATGGGATGCCCATCCCCAGGAAGGGCCAAAAGGAGCATCTGGGCAACTCCTGACCTGTCCCATTGACCTCAGGACCAGGGAAGTTCATGCAGCAGATCCTCCTCAGTGCCATCCCATGGCACGGGCAGGTCAGCCAGGGGATCAGGCCCAGCCAGCGTGGGGTTGGGAAAGGCAGGTCCTGCCTGACCAACCTCATCTCCTTCACTGACAAAGGACCCGCTCAGCAGCTGAGGGAAATCCTGGGGATGTGTCTCTCTGGAATTCCAGAAAGCCTTTGGTACCATCTCTCCCAGCATCTCCTGCACAAACTGGCTGCTCATGGCTTGCCCAGGGAACTGTTTGCTGGGTGACAAAGTGTCTGATGGCCCAGGGAGTGGTGGGGAATGGAGGGAAATCCAGGTGTGGCCGGTCACTCGTGGGGTTCCCAAGGGCTCAGGGTTGGGGCTGCTTCTGTTTAACATCGTTGTGGATGATCTGGGCCAGGGGATCGAGTGCCCCCTCAGGAAAGTCATGGACAACACGTTGGGTGTGATTGTGGATGTGGTGGAGGGCAGGAAGGCTCTGCAAAGGGATCTGGACAAGCTGGATCAATAAGGTCAAGTGTCAGGGCCTGCCCTTGGGTCCCAACAACCCCCTGGAATGCTCCAGGCTGGGGGCAGAGGGGCTGGAGAGCTGCTCA